ATAGAAATGTAGTGGAGTGAAAAGTACAATATTTGTCTTTCAAATGTAGTGAAGTTAAAGTTATAAGTTCCCAGAAAAAATAATACTCAAGTAAAGTACCGATACTCAAAAAGTGTACTTAAGTACAATACTCAAGTAAATGTACTTAGTTACTGTCCGCCTCTGGCCAGGCGTTGTGCATGCTGCAACGCAATCAGTTCCCGGTCATGCACCGGTAACCGTTCGAGAGAGAACTGATCACGCTGCAGCAGCATCTCACGGGATGACATGCCACGTGACCGAATACGGCTATTTAACCGAGCAACAGCTACAGACAATAGTAAGGGGGTGACGACCCCACAGTGTGGTTCTAGTCGCAAAATCTCGCCCTGTAGCTCCTGGATGGCCTTTTCGGCCACCGGATTTTTGTTGATATTTTTAGCATCGCCAACTTCAATGGCCAGCCTGTATTGAGCAAGCACTGTGTCCTTGGCCAGTGCTGAAAAACCTGGTGCTGGGTCAGTTCTAACTACAGCAAAGGGGCCATCAAGCGGACGAAGGCCAATACACAAGCAATAATAATACCATATTATATACGATAATACCATCCAGCAACGTTTCCTTCCGCTCGTCATCAATTAACAAAGCAGCTGTAAAGGTTGTCACACACTCACGAAACGACTAAGATGAGCTGGCGCTCACGTTTAAGCACGTCAGCTGCAAAAGTAGACCCGATCGTCTCAGGTGGATCACAGCTGGACTGCTCCACTGCGAACACAGGAGACTTAGTCAGTGCAGCACATTGGTGACATCCCTTACTGGTAAGCTGGATGGCTGAATCCAAGTCCAGCGCGTAGAAGTACCGGCCAACGACAAGTCTCAACTGGTGAGCCGAGGGGTGGTCTAACCTAATGTGCAATGACATAAGCAACCCATGCAGTACTGACCTTGGAACAACGATGCATTCGGTAGTGTTTGACAGTGGTGTGTCATGCCGCACAACTAACAGCCCATCCCTTGCTAAGGTAACAATATTCAAATACCGGTTCACATCTTTGACATTGGTAACTCTCTTGGAAGGGCGTGTACCCTGCCGAAGATGTGCGCGTACCCTGCGGAGGTCTGGACACTCAGCCTGAATAGACACCCATGTGGCCCTATTGGCAAAGGGCACCTTTTAAGCTCCCTGCAAGATGTCGGCAACATCAGTACGGCACACGACGGAGACCATGGATTCACGGACGAAGCTACACACCTGACATGCCGGACTATCACATTGTGCAGCATGGCGACTAGCATAATCTGAAGGGAGAATAGCAGCCCTAGCAACATGACGAACAGAGACCTGAAAGCGGCTTGCAGTAGACAAGATAGTAACACGTGGGCTCGCAGAAAATTCCCCCCTACACAGCTTCACAAAGGCCTGCACGCATGGTTTACTGTTAGTGAGCACACACGCCTTCTGTGTTGACTGAATAATATATGGACCAAAATGCTTCAGGGCAGCGGCTATAGCTAGGGCCTCAATCTCACACGGAAGCCAATTGATCTGATTTTTGCGAAGCTTAGCGCTAAATTGCTGGCGTAACATGCATAACTTTTCCCCCCTCGTAACATACATTGTCGCGCCTAGCCCTGGATCCCTAAGAGCACCGTCTGTGACAATCCAAAGTCGGTCATCAGGTCGTGGTATTGTCACAGCGCAACTAGTGGATAATGCCTGCTGAGCCCTACGAAAACACTGGAGGAGCTCATCTGACCACACAACCGCAGCGGTCGACTCCCCACCAGCGACCATGTTGTCAAAGGGGGCAAGGATCGACGCACACCCCTTAAGGACACGAGCTAGGACTTTATACGCACCAATAAAGGACCGTAGACCACTAACAGTCGCAGGAGGGGTGCACGAGGCCAATGTTGAAATGCGGTGCAAACTGGCACGAATAGTACCCTGATTCCAGACCCACCCCAAAATGTTAGTCTTGACTGGGGCAACGATCGTCTTACTGGGAGATAAGCACAGATTGCATGCCTGGAGGCTAAGACCTTTTTCTACACTGCAAGAAGATCCTCAAGGGTATCGGCACCACAGTACAGGACATCAGTGACCTTGGCCACCTGTCCCTGTTGAAGGAGGTCGCCAAGCACGCGACCGGTTAACTCCTCTAATGCGGTTTCTGAGCTGGCCATGCTCATGGCACATCTGGCATACACACGGACTCCTTTAAATGGCGTGACCACCCCGCAGTACTTCATAGAAGATTTGGAAAGGGGAATTTGGTAGAACGCCTTGGTGAGGTCTGTCGCAATGATATATCTCCACTGAGCTATCAGACGCAGTGTGGCATCGACATTCGGCATCAGCGACGGTTGGGGTTTGCTATAACGGCCCACATCGGCGAATGCTGTAACAAGACGAAACCCCCCGTTAGGCTTTTTGACAAGAAACGATGGGTTGACATATTCCACATCGACATCAATGTCCTCGGGCTTTCGAAAAACACCAAGTGACTCCAGCGCATCAAACTGAGCCTGCAGTTCCTGCAGCTGGCCTCTGGAGTACTGCGGGACCCTTCTCATTCGCTGAGGCGGTTGGACAGGCCCTATGTTTACCCTTGCTTGGAAGGGGCCAGCAGCGCCATTATAGCCCCTAAACTGTGGACTGAAGATCTCATCAAATTCCCTATGGACCTCCCGAAATGTATCTCTAATGTTCGCCGTCATATTGCCATTGGGGTCTAATGAGATAAGGTCAGAGAATAGTGTTGTACTGTGCATACTGGGCTTGCGAGTGACAGCTTGAGGAACTTCCACCTGGGCTTGTTCAGTTTGGGGCTCTGGTATGTAGGTAATGCGAACACGGCATTAATGATCATGTTTTCTAATGCCCTGTGGTGCGTCAGTCAGATTAGGAATTCAGATTTTTCCGGATACCCCTACAAACAACGATGGAGCAAACCAGTGTGTACAGTCCTCGTGCGGCTCAACAGCGAGCTCCTCGTTAAACTTTGCAAGTTCTGCTGGAAGTTCAAGTTCGACAAAGTCCCCAGGCCACACAGTATGTGATGAGGTAGCACGAAGCACATGAGCTCACCGAATAGCATGTCTGTCTCCATACGTCCGATTGGCGCCATACTCGTATGTGTCTGATGCCACGCAAGTCTGATGTCTAGCGGGGCGGATAGAGATGTCATTACATTCCATAAAGGGGATGCCAGCGAGAATGTCCGAATCCAAATTTTCTACCACAAGTCCATCAAAAAAGAGCATGTGCCCGCCTAATTGAAAATGTGTGCGTGTTTCTCCAACCACCTTCAATGGAGAGGAGCCATCTGCCTGACGAGCTGACTGCGTACTGCTGGAGACTTTAAGGCCCAGTTTGGTGGCACATGCTGCCCTTATCATGTTTCCAGTTGCACCACTGTCGATGGTCAGCCTAACGGGGACGTGACCATGGAAAGCCTCGAGGCAGGGTGACTGCATGATGTGAACGCGCTGTACCGCCTTAGGATTGAAGGATATGTCCTTGCTGTCATCCTCGAACTCGCCGTCGGAGTGACATGGAGAGCCAGCAACTTGCCGCGCCCTGGCAATGAAAGCTTTGTCTGGAGGGGGCAGGAAAGGGCACTTACTGAGGAAGTGATTGTCCGGTCTGCGAGCCTCCTTACAGAGTGGGCAGGACTTCCTGGATCGACCCAGTGAAGCAAACTTCTGTCTTGGAGGGTTAGAAACGGCTGAGTGCATAGCTCTGGCATCCTCTGATGACTGTAGCTCATCCAATAATGAACACAGGGCCTGAGATATCTCTGGTTTGATGGATGCCAGAGTGCGTGACCGTAACTCTGTGCCATACCTCTGCTTTACAAGCTTTGGCAAATCGCTGTGTATAAGACGAAGCCAAGTTAGAACAATGAAGTTTTCGATCGAGGGAGAGAGCTCCTCATCCTCTAGAATGGCTTCACCTCCGTGAGTAATGCCAGAGTCTCTGCGTAGTAAATTGTCCTCAACAAAAGCCATTAATCTCTGGTACAAATCCTCTGGCCCTTCATTAGACTCAAGCTTAATAGCAGCAAAGTCAATGAAATGTGCACCAGTAGATTGGAATCCATAATGTAGTCTGATAGTCTGCCATATGTTATCAATGCAAGTGGAGTTTTTAACAATAGTATTTCGGGAAATAACAGGGCAGTAGTTAGCGATCTGCCCCAGCATAAGCTCGAGCATGCTGACCTTTTGTTGGCGCGTGCGCCGTTGCGCCGCGGGAACATCATCGTCGTCGTCATCGGTAAAACCTCTGAATGGTGAAGCCCTTGTCTTCTTTTCCCAGCGCGCGCCGTCAACTAGAAAAGGAGCGAATTCATTGTCCAATGACAACGTGTAAACAAGGTTCTGACGCCAGTTCTCAAATGAATTCACAGTCTCAACTTTCGTTAGGCACCACTGCTTAGGTGCTCTGTGTGTATTCTCCATCGCTAATATCTCGAGTGTTGTCAGCGGAGA